CACACACACACACACACACACACACACACACACACACACACACACACACACACAGCTTTTACAAGTTCAACATTTCAATATTGCAGCTCTGGTTTTGCTTATCGTTCATAACTTAAATCTTAATCTATGCTTATAAACTGCCTTTCAGACTGGATTAAACCAGACTACATCCATCTATAGTTTGTACTGTTAATTTTGTATATACAGGCTTACATCACATTCAATTTGTGGGACTTCTCCATCCCAAGCAACTCTTGGCCTATTTTCAGTCATTTAGGTGGTTTGTGTTGGTAAACAAACAAGATAGTTGGCMCCTGTTCTTTTTTTTTTTAACTGTGCAGCTGTAGCATTTCCAGCATTGGACACTTTCAGGAAGATTTGATCATTTGGCCAGAATTGTGTGAAACTGACATACCATAACTGTTAAAAGCTTTAAAAAGTGTTTGCATGAACCGCTATGAAACTTTCAAATGAACATGTTTCAAATGGGTCAAGCTAACAATGGCCGGTCTGAGCAAACTCACTTCCAAAAGTGAACTTTGCTTTCCTAAAGTTCCTAAAGAAAGCCCAGTTTAATCCATAATTTGGGGAGATGTTTATTGTTTAGAACATTTTGACAAAACAACACTTCAAAATGGACAAAATATCCCTTTAAGACCAGGGCAATCCTTCAGTTGTAAATAAAAGGTCTTCAGGAATTTTCTTCATTAGAGGTGAATAAAAGAGTTTAACCCTCCTGCTGCCCTCGGGTCAAACTGTTTGAAAACTAAGGCCTTATGGGTCATTTTGACCTGTGATCAGCAGGAGGGTTAAATTTGAATATGGCTTCAAACTAAAAGAAAATGCTAAACCCATTTTAAAATGTTAAATTATTGCATTTGGCTTTAAGATCATTTTATTTATTTTTGACGATGAGCAGATTTTATTGGCTTCTCGCCATCTCCACAATGCTCTGGTTACACAAGTAAGGAACTATTGGGAATTGATCATAATTTGGGAATGATGTCAGAATGTGTCAAATAAAAATATGTACATTTTGCTCTTAAGTTTAATGTCAAATTCAAAGTGAACTCTGTTAACTGATTGAATGTTCACGTGTCCAGCAGTCTTCCTGTTGAAGTAATTTACTGGATCTGCTTCTGTTTTTGTTTCCACAGTTGAGGATCTTTGAGAATCAGCTGTTTATAAACCAGAACAAAGAGTCTTCGGGGTTAATAAAGGACCTCACGGCCATCCGCATCGCCTCCTTCAACCCCATCCTGGACCCTTGGATCTACATCCTCCTCAGGAAGGCAGTGGTCCTCAAGCTGATGGAGAAGATCAAGTGTCTGTTCTGCAAGATGGGCGGGCGCGGGCGGGGAGGAGGCGGGCACTTCCGCTGCGCCGACGGCCCCCCGTCCGCCTCCTTCGTCTCGAGGGACTCCCCGTCGCTGGTGTCCCATGAGCCGCGGGAGTGGGTCAGCACCTTGCAGACCGCCCTGTACGCGTCCGACGGGAACACGCTGGAGCCGGGGGCGTTCCAGGCCGGTTCGGGGCTCGGCTCCAGTCCGGCACAGACGTTACGGGGCTCCCGGGAGGTGACATTGCCTCTGAGGGAGTTCTCGCAGAGGGACATGGAGGACTGTGTGTTACACGGGATGCTGAGTGAGCATCCAACGGGCTACAAAGACCGGGCGCTGCACGTGACTTTCACAGACGAGAGCGCCAGCATGCAGGAGAAATGCATCTAACCATGACAGTGACCTCAGCATCCCCGCCATATTAAACTGTCTCACCTGTCAGATACTGTGTATGAAATCTAACAGGTGTTTCTGATTGTAATACCCAGTATCACTGTACCACACCGCATTTGACACACCAACAAGTTCTCTTCAGTACAATCAAAACTATAATATCATGGAGGAGAACATCACAGAGGAGCCCTTTTGTTGCACTTTTAAGATTTTTTTTAACCACTGCGAGGTTTTCAGGAATGATTGTAAAGAATCAATGTGAACATGTGAACGTCATATTAATTTATTTTACTTTTATTGTCTTCTCTGTGAGAAGGTTCTGTGTAGTTCTGTGTCATTTTACGTCACTATAAGATGCTCTTACAGTGTTTTTTTATTGTTATTATTTGTGTGGATAAGCTTTTGCAAACATTCTGGTCGTATTTGTTCAAAGAGCAACCCCAACACCGAATCTGAAGTTAAAACCAGTCTGTGCATTTCATAACAAAAGGCAGCTATACTGTGGCTTTTTCACAACAGAAACTAGAACATATAGGAGGCTTTTATAATGTCTTTTTTCCCCCAGTACAAATGTTTATTTGCTCATTTCTGCAAGTGTCTTTCAACTAACCAGAATGCATCAGCATGTTAATACAGGAAATGAAACTAGAAAACATTAGATATTTTGATGACAAAGGTGTTTTTTTCTTTTTTTCACTGTTTCCTGTTTTGCTTTTTTTTTTTTTTTTGCTATAAATTGACTGAACAGAGGTTTATATTTACCCATTTTTGTGAACAAATTAATGTAATGAACTCAAAGTAAAAAATAAAAAGTTGATAAGTATTTATCTGAAATTGCAACTTGTCTTACTTTTGCTCTTTGGGGGGAGGGGTCAATTGTAACATAAAAGATAAAAACAGTGGTCATAAACAAATTTTAAAAAACCTAAACTCTTTTGTTAATGGCTTTTTAGAAACATTTGCATACTTCTACTACCAATGACAGACAGACAGACAGACAGACAGACAGACAGACAGACAGACAGACAGACAGACAGACAGACAGACAGACAGACAG